GTAGAATCATTTTCTATAGCAATGTTTACCGAAGAGCAAATTCGTTATTATAGTATCCACTGAATACTTCACGCGTACATTCATCATTAAATGTTTGTCTAGCTTAGACATGAAAATGATAAAATTCTTGAAGATCATCTGTCGAATGATTCTCTTTCTTGATATTTTTTGAAGTATTTCTCCAGATAATATCGAATTCAAGTTGCTCATTTCCAAAACATCTTCCAGCATATCATTTAATAGCTTTGATTTCAATATTAAAGCTGATTTTTTTAAGTTCCTCCGCATATAATTTTCTTGCTGAATCTTGCACAAAACGACGATGATTCGTGACTATTGTGATTACAATTACTTTTTGTAAATACCAATATTGTGTACTCTGTATGCGGAAAAGCAATTACCTCTTTCACGATAAATTTATACCGTGTACATGACGTGTGTTTATACTTTGCAAAAGTTTGAAAATTTTTGCCACCTTTACTCTGCAATGAACATTTGTGCCATTAGCAAGATAAAACACAATATGAATGCGTGGTGCTAAATGTTTTGTTAAATTCTTCAAACCAGCCCTATTTCATTTTCGGTCCGCTGGCCCAAAATTCATCCCAAAATTTTGCAGGGATAATAAACGAAGTACTTTTTCTCCATGAAGAAAATGTCTTTTTTATTTTGGACTTTCAGAAACTTTCAACAACTATTTGCAGCTTCAAATTCAGGTATGTCACAATGAAAATCATTTTCTAGAAACGTAGAAATAATACTATTGTTGGTATTGGTTTTATTATCACTATCTTCTAAATTGAAATATATTTTCGAATCTGCACTATCTGATTTAATTGGCTTTTATCCCTCATTCAAAACATTTTCGTTGTCAGCATGTTCCAAATTTGAACATGTTTCCATATACGAAACATTTGGTTCGTTACTACTTTCGTTTTTTATGCATATATTATGATTATCAGTATTTGAAGAGAAGTCAGTATTTGAAGTATTTGTTCTTTCCAAAAAAAATTTCATTTTTGTCTGTTTCGTATTTGTAAGCCATACGTTCTAATATATTGTTAGAATTCTGTCGAAAGAAGTAATAGCACTTCTGACAGCGCTTTCGATACGTTCTTTCATATTTCGCATTTTTGTATACAAGTTTACAGATTGATAGTTGTGAATATCTATTGAATACAAAAATAATCAAAAAAGGAATACAATGGTTTAAATATACAAAATTATATATCAAATATTAAAGTATTAGAATAGTGTTAAAACAATAGTAACGTAATATTAAAAAGTAATATTAATAAATGAAAAATGAAAAGTACAAAAAAATTATAAAACAATAAAATTATAAAAAATCCAAAAAATATAGTTAATAAAAAATTAAAATAACAAATAATATATATATATATATATATATATATATATATATATATATAAAATGTATATATATTTTTAGTATATATAATGCCAGTATTTATATTTTATATATATAATGTCCTGTTTAATGTTTCAACCTCTTTAGTCGTAAATCTGTCAATGATTTTAAGCATTGTAAACTTCATTTTAACAGGAGATTGCTGCAGATTGAACTCTCCGACACATACTCATACATTAGAACTACACACACTCAAATTTGTAACCTTTCCCGACGCTTATATCATTACATCCCTCTACTTACCTGTAACTCCTTTTTCACTAGACAACGAGGACTGCTTTCCTTTTTTACCAATCAACATGACAAACTACAAGAAATTTGACAATCTATTGACGAAACATAAGGTTAAAAAGAATGACACAAAACCGATCCATATTTCTATAGTCACTTCACTCACTCACACCCCTTTGCTAGAGGACGTCGTTTTTATTTTAAACCACTAATTTTTCCAACAGACGCACAGAATCTGGACTTGGAGATCGCGATCGATCTACACACATTCAAACAAAATGAACAGCCTCTGTTAAACATTAACAAAAAATGATTTGTCAATCTGTCCTCCACTCCTGTGCCCACTGACGTACAGAATCTCTTACAATTGGGTGACAATTTTAGTTTTCCTATCAATAATACAGAAAAACTGACCACAGAATTCATAAAAAACATCGAGAGCAACCTTATGAAACTCCCTATAATATCACAAACGACCATTAGAAACCGCTCAGTTAACATCATTAACAGTCTACCTAATTATTCGATCCCGAAATGTGAAGTTAACACACACTTAAAAGATCTCGTTTCTACTACTAGAAATTTTCTACAACATAATAACAATATCATTGTTACCTGGGCGGATAAGGAAAACATTACTGTAGCTTTGGACAAAGATGTGT